TTGCCTGCATATTTATATGATGTTGAATATAGCTACATGAATTTTATGCAAAATCCGGTCTTTAATTATAATATTTACTAATAAAGTTCTTATTAACATAACGTATATTAGGTAATCAAAATTAATTTTATTTTGTACTAAGAAAATGTTTAAATTGTTATTCTTCCATAGGTTGTTTAAAAGAATTGATTTAATTGAAAATGATACCTGAAAAACTTATTGTGGCCAAATAATATATTATTTGGAAATTGGCTTTGACACCACAATAGAATGTAATGGAAATGGAACCATCTTCTTTTAATAATATGCTGTTTATCGTTCACATAAAACTATACTATGGATAGTATTTCTATACTTCTGATTTAGTATCACGTATGTATATATAATATGACCTATATATACTGTATAATATATGTACATTCATTAGTATTTAGGATTCTGTGCATTAAAACAATGTTATGTATTTATATAAGATGTAAATATATGACAGATCGACAAACAAACTAGTTGTAAATATTTGACAAGTATCTATCTAACAAGACATTTAAAGATAATATCTTAAACCAACTACCTATATGGCTACATTTGACAATTTACTACCTATTAGGTGTGTATTATTACAAGATTTTTTTCAGTAGTACCAACAATAATCAATTACCTAGCATAAGAACAGAAATGTAAAATTCAGTATTATTTTTAATGATTAATAGTAGTTAGATACCTACCTATATAAATAATATTATAACTTATAGTACATTATAATTACCATCATAGTTAATCATACATTCAGGTATCAATCATTAATATTAGGAAAAATATATACTCCTAATTGAACTGTACCCCATTAGAACATTGCAACATCATGTAGAGTAAGTTAGGTATATAATATATAATATATATATACATAGCATAATATAGTATAATAATATATGGTTTTATTTTTGGGAAGTAGATACCTGGTGATAAATCAAAATACCTACCAGTAAAACAGCATCGACTTTCATATTTTTTAATCATAACACAAACTTGAATAAAAAATTATACAAGTATATAAAGTAGCTGGTTTCTATTGTATCTTTATGTAAAAATTGCTTAAATTAACCACAGTTCATTAATAGAACTTTGATTTTCTCAAGGAATGAGTAATTGGATTTTTGTGTTGACCTTACAAAAATAAATAATAATTAAAAACAATTTAATCAATTAAGGAACTTTTATAACTGCTGTTTCTCTGGAAAATAAACATTTTTTTTTAGGTCTATGTAATAGTCTTAAGATTATCACGATTTAAAATTAATACTACATTTAAACTTTTTGGTATATATTTCTGTTACCAAATGCGTATACCAATGCTATACTCATTGTTACACACTGGGCATTTTTGTGTTTGCAGCTGTGACAAACAATCAACGCAAAGAACCCTATGCCCACAAGGAACAAGTGCATGTGTCCTGGGGGCCACTCTGCACACCACACAAATATTATCTTCATCTTGTCCTTGTGGGTAAAGTTCCAAAAGATTTTGTGGTACTGGTACAAACGGAACTTCTATCTCATCTTCAACCATAAAATTTTGCCAAAAAGCCATTTCGGCATCCTCAGGTATTACAAAATCTGCTTCGTTTTCATCTAGAAATGTATAATAATATAGAACTTTGGATTTAATTCAAGAACAAATTTTTAAAGTACCTAGGTATGTAATAAATTAATTATAATTTTATGATAATATAATACTATTATAATATCATAAGACAATGGTACCTATGATATAATTGGATAAAAAATAACTTTTATTCCATAGGTATTACCTTCTACAATGTGGACATCTGGTTCTTCAACAACATGGGGTAGTTCCACTATAGCATCTCCAGGATCCTCTGGTATAACAAAATCTGCTCCGTTTTCATCTAGAAATAATACAGTATAATAATATAGAACATGGGATTTAAATTCAAGAATAAATTGTTAAGGTACCTAGGTATGTAATAAATTAGTATCATTTTAATCATTTTATGATATTATGTTTACCTACTATTATAATATCAAAAGACAATGGTACCTATGAGATAATTGGATAAAAAATAACTTTTATTCCATAGGTATTACCTTCTACAATGTTGAAATCTGGTTCTGCAAGAACTTGTGGTAGTTCCACCATAGCATCTCCAGCATCAGGAATCTCGGCTATTTCTTGAATACCGACTGGTATATAAACCTCAGCAGCTTGAATATCACCTACGGGAGGGAGATTGACCTCAGCAGCTGGTAATGGAACATCAGGAATATTCAATAGTTCCTGCTCTTCATCAGAACCTAGCATTATTATAATGATTTATTCATTAATTTGTATAAAAATTAATAAATTGTTATTGATAAGAAGAGTAGTAAGTACTTATATGATATTAATAAACTATGCAAAATAATAGGTGTTATGTAATAAGAGTTATAACTTATAAGTAAAACATTTTCCCTTCATGTAAAAAAACAAAAACATCAGCTATACAAGGTGAATTGGTATACTGTTGTTCAGTTTTTGTTGTTATTTTTCATCATTAATGTTTAAAATTGCTACCCTAAGATTTATTAAATGGTCTTATATACATACTTTGAGTTTCATCTCTCCAGTCTAGCTCTCTTGCGATGTAGTTGTCTGTACTGTGAGAGCACTGTATTAAAAATTCTCTAACTGTAATTGCACCAGTGGCCAATTGTGCAGTGGAATTTTTAATTCTCACAGAATTCATTAAATATTTTGTTTTGATGCCTCTTGTTGTCTGTAACCCTCTAGCCAATTGACTTACAACAATATGTTGTTTCAGCATTATATTGTTTAGGTGTTCTAGGACCAACAAGTTATTTTCAACTAATTTATAAGATAACATCTTTAAATAAAAACTTTAGCCATAGGGGCTATAGTCCCCTAAGCTAGTAGGTATTTAATATTCGTGAAATTATTTAATTTTTAAATTTTTAATATTCTATTTATAATAAATGTATGTATTAACTTTAATGGATACCTTGTTTTATGATAGTTTATATTTAATAGATTCAAAAATGTCTATGAAAGAAGAATTAAAATGTTCAAATAATAATTTTTAAATTTATAATAGGTAGTATAATAAATGAATATGCAATTCATGAAGTAAATTTATTGGCATCACATTACATTAGGTAACTATTTTTGAATGTTTAGAACTTTAAAATATAAATGAAAACATTTAGAAGATTAAATACAATTTTAATAAATACTTTAATTTTTTTAAATAATGAAAAGAAAACAGTTTTTTTTATATTTGGTTAGATATTCGGAAACGCTAGTTTTCATTAATTCAGAATAGTTTTGAAAATAATATGAAATTGTTTACCTTGTTAACAAAAATAATTTTTAATGACTCACCTAGCATTTTCCATAAATTAGGATGCATCACTTGAAACGTTTGTTTCAAGGATGAATGAAAGCTCTCGATATTATTGTTTGTTCGGCGGGGTTGACCATATACCGAAAAACATTCTGGCCCCTTTCTTATGATCCAAAAGCTGTTTGAATTTCAATATATTAGAACAATATATTATTTTCTAATTAGTTTTATATTTTACCTTGAAAAGTACGTAAAGAATCTTGGTAACTGAACTACATTTGCTTGTGCATAATTTTTTATTTCCTGATACCCTCTTTCTATTTTATAATGCGGTAATAGTGCTAAAGCTGCCGTCATTTTTATGCACATTTTTGCATGCATGTTGTTTTTCACATAACTTGTGTAGCCCAATTTTTTTATTTTTCTCTGTAAGCTCTAAAATGTTTTGTACAATTCTTAATTATCATAATAATATGTGAATTGAAATGAAAAAAATCGCATGAAAAAAGTAAAAGCATTATTTTTTTTAGTTTGGTTCAAAAAAGATTTTCTTATTTATTTTTCTTAGGAATTTCTTTAATATATTTCTTAGTTAAATTGCAATCTAGGGTTATTATATTTTGTTGTTTTAAGATATTCATGAAGTTCTGTCTAAAAGGTAACTTTAATTATTGAACATAATAGTATTGATGAAATAAAACAACCTAAGTATCGTATACGTATTCATAAAAGTTAGGTTTAACTTAGGTGTCAAACTTTTATAGATCTTGAATTAATTAACTTAGTTAGATCCATCCTAGAATATGGATCTCCTATTTGGAGTCCCTATACTAAATCCAACATTGAGATTATTCAAGGGGTTCAGAAGAGATTTTTAAGGTTTGCAGCATATAAATTCAACTTAACTATTAACCAACATACATCAATAAGATCACTTCTAAACTTTCCCTTTCTAGCCTCCGGGCGAGATTTAGCTGACATTTATTATTTATATAAACTAATCAATAATCATATTGATGTCCCTTACCTATTAGAACCTTTTCCATTCAACATCCCAGCATATAATAATTGAACCACTCCCACATTCTACATACCATCACACAGCACAAATTACTTTAAAATTCCTATTCTTAGAACCATGGCTTTGTGTAATAAACGTGTGCACCTAATATTGATTGTTTCTCTACTCCGTTAGTAGTCTTAATAAAATTCTTAAAATTTACTTAACTAACAATATGTATTATTTTACTTTTACAATCGTTTCAGTTTATATTCAGCCTATTATTATTAAGAATTTATGTTATTGAATGATTTCTGTATCAATTTATTGTAATAACTTATTTATTTTATTGTACTGTTGGGAAATTTGCCCGTTTTATTCATTGAATAAACAATTATTATTATTATTATTAGTATTTTTAAACATATTATGGTAGATAGTTTGTAACAAATTAAAAATATGAATCAATCAATTTTGTTCTAAAATAATCGTTGAGTTAAGTTCATAAGAAACTTGTTTTTATTTGAAGTATTTAATGTTAATATTTTAATTTTTAATTAAAGAACTTCAACACTGATAATGTACCTGATAAATCTAATATAAATAAATTCAATACCAAAACTATATTAAATTTAAATTTCTCAAACCTGGACAAAATGGAACCAACACGACAATATTGTTGCTTCAGGATAAGTTTGTTGAAAGGCGTTATGAAGGCCGGTTTCGAAATCAATCATTATTGATGTGGGCCTTACATTTGGGAATTTGGTTTTAAATTGCCCAAGCACTTTTTTGTATGCAACCTCGGTTTTAGTTTCCATCAATACGAAACAAATGGGGATGGACTAAAGTAAAATATGACGATTATAAACATAATTAGTAGGTATATCAATATAAAATAAAGAATAATAACTGATATTTCTCACATGATTTTGCAGAATCAAGTGAATAATAAAAAGCTGTCTACACGTTGGCACAGATGGCACTACTTTAAAGGTTCCATCTGCATGTAATTCGGTCGCTCTTTGGTTGACAACTGCATCTATTATGTCTTGACAAGCGAACATGACACTAAAATTGCCATTACCATCTACAATCCATTCTTGGTAGAATGGTTGATTGTTACACTGATATCTATTGACCATTTTAACCAAACAGAATAGTAAGCATCAATTTAATTTAATTTAAATATTAAAACCTAACCTGTTAATATTTAGGTCTAAATATTCGCCCAATTCTCGTAATGTCGATGGCAAAGGTGGAACCGCTTGTTTACGAGCTTTGCGCATCAAAGATTCGGCTGTTGGCCAAGAGTACAGCATAGCTGCTTGTGGATTTCTATAAAGTTTAATCGTTATGTTTGATTTAAGACTATTATTTACTAATATCAATAAAAAATCTGTTCTATGGAATAATCGAGTTAAAAGTTTTATAAGGTAAGTACAAGTTTAAATTTATATTGCTTAAAATTATTTAGAATTTTACCTGATGGCTTCCTCGTCATAAATTACTCTTAACGGATTTGTTTCCGATTTAGCCCGGTCCAACAAAATGCCTCTAAATGTTTTCTTCATTTGATTCACATTAAAATTACTATCATAAGGATCATGTGAATGACCTTTTTTGACTACAAATGTACCATTTGCTAATTTAATTGCTGTGCCACTACAATAGGTATTTGGAGTAGCACATGCATAATAACTGAAAATTATTATAATTATTAATAATTTCATATAACTATGCCATTTTCTTATATCTTACCATTTACCATCTTTAGTAGTCTTGGTACATTTATATAGGAATCCCTCAATATCCATATTTATTGAAACAAATTAATCAATGTTAACACAACAGATAATATTATAAAATATGTAGAGGTATATTATAATATATTTTACAGAAAAAACAACAGTTAAAAGCACAATACAAAAAAATTAATAGTACATGTAACAACGGTATGTTATATTGATGAGCAACTCAAACAAAAGAAATATATTTTGATAAAATGTACAATACAGCATTAATTATTTATTTTTGTTTTTGTTATAGGTTTTTTTAAATTCATAATCTAAAAATAAAATTTTACATGAATAATTATAATATATACATGTTGTGTGTGGTACCATCATGTACCATGTTGGCACCGTGTTGGTGCAATGTGCATGTACCAACATGACAATTGTTATCAAGAGATATTAGAGCAATCTAAACAAAATCACAATGAATGAATGAAAGAATATATTGGAACCAGATGTCAAATTATTTGAAAGTAATACTTTTATACATGGATATTAAAAAAAATCGTTCTTATTTTACATAAAAACATTCCAGGAGATGAGGTGACTAATCCAGTACCAGCTGATAATATTCTGGCATTAGTAAATCATCCAACTGCAGAAGTTGATAATCCACCAAATAATTTAGAGGAAGGTAATATCTACCTAAAATAATGTTAACCGAACATTTGTGGGTGTGTGTGAATAAGGGGTTAAGTCAAAAACTATGAACTTTTCAGGAAATTGAAATTAAGGTTTGGAACAACATGTAAGGTCGTGTATTAGGGTAGGATAGATATTTTTTGAATAGGATAGTACTACAAGTTGTTTTGTACTTTCTGATATAAATTTGAATTCATAAAATTAAAAAGACAATATAGTTAAAAGAATTTAAAAAAAATTGTCTTAAATCTTTTTGAAATAAATTCACTCATTTGGTTTTTGAATAAAAGGGTTAAGTCATTTTAATAATTACTATATTATTATTGTTTTAATACATTATTTTAATAAGTATCAATTTGTAACAAAATAATAACTTAACCTGTTCAAATACAAAATTAATATGTAAAAAAAAAAATTTTAAAAACTAAATAAAAATTTAACATGTTTAATATTATAATATTAACTTAAAAAACAAAATTAAAACTTAATGTGTTCAATAAAATTGTTTTAAAATTGTTCATATAAAATTCTTTATAAACAAATAATAAGTCCATTATATCTTTTTTTTTCTATTCTGATATTGGTTGAGGTCCAGAATAGCATTGAGGATATTCAAGTTTGGGGTTATGTTTTCCTCTCTTTAATACATCAGGTAGATGGAACTGATCTTTGTTTAATTCATTTTTATAAATTAAAACAAGGTTTTGATTTTGTGTAATGTTGCTATTTTATTTGTCTCCAATTTAAATTTTCACCTCTGGTTGTTATTTTTCGGTTTGTAAGCACAGTTTTAAAAATAAAAGAATAGTCATTAAATCTGGTGTCTCCATTTCAATGACTTGCATAGGATTCTATTTTCCGTATTGGCGTATTAATGTTTCCCAATCATGAGGATGCTCAATTTGTTCATTTTATTTTTTTTTCTTCTTAATAACATTGGTCACTATCACTTTCCATGTGTGTATGGCCTGGAATTAAAAATGTGTGGTCTAATGTTTCTAATGAACAATTTTGCATGACTACAAGACCATGGCAGCTATATGACTATTTTTATTTTAGCCCCCGCATGTATCTGAAAACATAGTTACATGAATTATTTCTGATTGCAAATTCAACAAATACTTGTATAAGCAAGATCTTAGCTAAAGTTTCATTCCTCAAATAACAATATGCTTGGTTAGAATCAGAGTTATGAATTGTTAAGTTATATGTCCAAAGTTGTCGTTTATAGAATGCCAAAGAGCTAGTAATGACTGGTGTCTGTAGACATTATTCAAAATCAAAAATGAATGTTTGATGTTGTTGATTTTCTTTTGATATTAATTTTCTTCTTTTTTCATACTGTACGCTAAATCAGCTTGCTCTTGGTGGAATTTTAATACTACTGACAAATCTGGTTTATCTTGATTTGATTTTAGTGTAATCAAACGATGACTTATTAGTTACTTTTATAGCTAAATTTATGTCATGAAATACCTCTGGATATTTTATTTTAAATTCCGCATATAATCCTGCAAGTGTCCAGCGAGTTGGTAAATATTTTCTTGAAGAATCTCTTCTGGTGTAATGACTTTCATAATTTGGGATGAATAATAAATGATATCTTACAAGTTCTTTAGTTTCATCAGTAATAGTATTCTTTGGACTACCTTTTCTTCTTTCATCAAGTTCAATAGGTCTCATAGAATAATTTGCATACTTATTTTTTAGCACCTGATCTATTGTTTTTTTAGTTTCTGCAAATGTTTTTTGGAAACATTTCTTTCAAACACATTCTCGTAGTCTGTTTACCGTTAAAAAGTAAAAGGCAATGACTTTTCTCTGTTTGTGACTTTTTGGTTTTTGTTTCCTAGAGGCATGTTTTTGTAAAACTTTAGTTAGACTAGATAACAGATCTAAACGTCTATATCGATTTTGAATATTCTCCAGTAATTCTTAAATATTTCTTGTTGCACAGTTTCTGAATTTTTTTTTGCATTTCAAATATTACATACTTTTTTTGTAGTTCAGTTTTACCACTATTTGCTGTGTCTTTTCTTGACCATCCATTTCAGTTTCTGCACTTGTGTTTTTTCTAATAAAACATTAAAATTAACAAGCTTTATTATAACCTCAGAATAAAATAATTATAAATACATAATATATTATTACCCAACTACCCAAGGTATAATCATGATCTATCTCAATATCATCAAAAGAACCAAAAATGTCAACATTATTATTAACATTGTAATGGTCATTACGAAAATTTTAAATTATCATTAATAATGTCTTACTCTCATTAAAATGTTCTAGATTTACTTCTATTTGATCCTCTACACTTTAAATTCCTATAGTTTGTGATTGATTTATTGTAGGTATGTGTGTTTTTTCCTGGTACTATACCTTTGTATGAATCGCTTATAAAATTACAAAACACTTTTTGCACATTTAAACTGTAAATTCAAAAAGATTTAAGTTGACTTATCACAAAATACACTAAAAAGATAAAAATAGTGACTTAACTCAAGAAACACTATTTTATTATTTAATGAATAGTATACTTTGACTTAAACTATAAAGAAAAAATTATAGATTTTTTTCTGAACTTTTTGATGTTCATAATTCATTTTTCACAAAATTATGACATCCCCATTTTCACGCGCACTCATTAGTTTTAGTTTTTAACTAGGTTAAAAATGTTTACTGCTTAGAACTTATTTGTATATAATTTGTTGCAAATTAATTTTTATAAAACTAATATTTCATAATACTGTATCAACATGTTAGGTTGTAACCTTATATTTTTAAATAAAAATAAGGTTGTAACTTTATATTTTTAAATAAAAATAATTACATTAAGTTTTCTGATTTCTAGAGTATGACAACAGAGATTTCATCATACCAAAAGATGGAGAAATGTACTTATGGAAAAACCTTGATTATTCTTATGGTAAACAAGATATAACATTTGTACGAATGCCTGCAAATATCTTTGAGCTATATACCCAAAGAGCTGATGAAGAAAATATTTGTGTTGTGTGTAGGGTGGCTCCAAGAAAACATGCTATAAATTATACCATGCGGACATAAAGTTTAGTGCATAGACAGCTTAATACAGTTAAATGTACAGGCGTACAGCGATGCCCAGTATGCAATGGATTTAATAATTAATTATGTTTATGGTAGTATGGTACCTATCTGATGATAATTAAATTTATATCATTTACGGTACTGATAATTTTAATTTTACATTGTAAATTGAAATTTGTTTGAAATATACAACATACATAATATATTTTATATCGTTTATGGTCAGTGGCATTTATTAACACCTGGTGTTGAATACTGTAAACATAATTATTAATATTATTAATAAAATAATAGTGTGATAGGCTAGCGTTCTAAATTACAGGGTTCGACACGCTCTCTGTAAAATAATTTCTTCATAGAGTCGTACGTGCCGTATCACTCGTTTTCTTGTGCGTACTCCAGACAGTTCATTTCACCGTTTACCGCGGCTTGAAAGACATTAATTACACTGATGGCTTGGGTGTTAAAAAAAAAGGACGTCTTCCCCCGGTGCATTATTTTTTTTTTTATTAGCCACTACCCATTAGGTTTAATAAAATATACATGGAGTCATATAACATAATATATATAGTAAAACCTCCTTATAACGGAATCGCTCGGTTCCAACTGATATTTCCGCTGTAAAGGAGTTTCCTTTTTGGGGATACTAAAATATACTATAATATAATATAGATTATTTGGGACTATTGTTAATTTCTGTTATATGGACATTATAATATATTTTTTGGATATTATATACAATTTGAATATAATAGAAGGAGAAATTACCTTCAATACAAGTTGTACAACAATAGGACTGAGATCAATTTATGATGAATAGAAGTGAATATATAGGTATATGTTATATACCTACCTATATATTATCATAATATTAAGTTGTAATTTGAACCAATACCAGGATTTAAAAATTAAATTGTATTATTACTTATTACATTTGGCCCTTAGGTTATCTGTTAAAATTTATAACAATAAGTAAGTTTTCTGAAATATGAGAAACATAAATCAATGTATTAATGGAAAAAAAAATAGCCCTAACTTGAGAAACATTATGGAATGTTTTAATTATATTTTACATTTATATAATTATACAATAACTCAGTCAAATATTAATTACTTCCATTACAAATTAGTAATTACAATACACAACATATTAATTATCCCTACATTTTAGATTCTGAGTGAAACGATGAATGTATTGATTTTACAATGATGTGTGTTATTTATTTTTTTTTTTTTGTGTCTGTCATCACTCATCACGTTTTAGGACAGTAAAAGTGCTTGGATTTTCTTCATCAGTAGCTTTTCTG